TCTCTCTCTCTCTCTCTCTCTCTCTCTCTCTCTCTCTCTCTCTCTCTCTCTCTCTCTCTCTCTCTCTCTCTCTCTCTCTCTCTCTCTCTCTCTCTCTCTTGCCCTCTTTCTGGTTTTTTCTCTCTTATATTTGGTCTCTTGCTTCGATCGTAAATCTCGTTGTTTCGTAAGTTCTCGTTTCGATTTATGAAAGTTATTTAAATAATCAGAAACTTTCAATGTTAAATGTACATTTAGTTCATAGTTCGATTTAACCATCAGACGACCACGCTGGGTTCATCAGGATCTCCAGCCTCGTTATTTCTGAATTCTGAATAAAACGGACAGATATGTCTTGGACCATTTAATTTCTTGAATATTATAAACTCGAGTGGTCGTGTAAGGGTTAGAGATTATATCAGCGACTCAATTTAACCTTTTCAGGGATATATTGTTCCATTCGAAGTACAAAATTATTTTAGTATTATAATGTTTAAAATAATTTCGTATTCGAAAGCACACGCGCGTGCTAATATCCTCGAAGAGGTTAAGAACGTCAATTAACCCTTTCGTACAGTTTGTTGGACGTTATTGTAGCTTTCTACGCGTTGCACTGTCTCTCGAGGAAGATATAGGAATTTATTAGCACAATTTCGATTTTTAAATCGTACGTACGTTTGCGTTGTTGCTTCTCAAACTATTCTTTAGGCAAACGAATGCTTCAAAAAGATGCAGCTTATCAGTAGTTTTGCTTAAAGTGTTTAAATTACACACCTGATACTTCCCGGAAACGAATGTATTGCTTTATATTTAATTTCACAGCATTTGATGTCTTTAAACAAGAATGTTAAAAAAGTTCGTATATATACATATATATATAGCTTCTAACAGACCATTTTAAAATGCATACGACGACCTATGATACAGGGGGTATTCCAGACCGTCAAAGGTCGGTTAAGAAGGAAAATACAGTATTTAGTACGTAACACTTTGTTCATTTCCATATGACGCATTGTCAAAATTACAATAAATTTGTAAAACTGCACTTCCGTCATGTCATATCACTGGCCAATATTATGCAATATTCATGAATGCAAAACGGTATTATTAGTCGGAGAAGATACGAAAGTGTTCGATCTGCACCTCTCATCTATTCCAGGTCAAATACATGCTTGTTCCACACGGTTTAGCAAGTGTAAAGCATTCTTCGAGACTCGAATGATTACTCGTTTACCTTATACAGCGTTTGGCTTGCGTCTCGCTTCTAGAATGATTATTTTAACCTCTTTAAGTCCATGACGTGGTCACGTATCTCGCATCAACTGGAATTAAACAATTTAGAAAGGGGGTCTAAGTATCGAGATCTAAGTATATTAGTAAATAGATCAATGTTAATGATTGTGTACACCACTGAGTACTTTACGTACAATAAAACCGCGTGGTCATCTAAAGGTTAATGAATTCTTCAAGTTTACGTACCCACGGAAACGTCGATAACGTAGCGACATTTTCTTTTAGTTACTTCTATATGAAGGTAGCTTTTCAGACGAAACATCTTTCTCTAACATCTCTCCGTATCGTGACAAGCAACGGAAACGAAGTTACTCGAGTTAAGTGGGTTACCCTAGGTTTTCGTACATACGATCACTCGAACGCCGAGTGAAATAAAAGAAGTTTCAAAAGCAATTTCGTTTTACTCTGGTGATAAACTATTCCCACCTGCTAGTAAACACCCGGTACAGGTGTAAAGAAGAAGGTTAAATAAAATTCCCGGCTCACGCCACCGTTCGTTTCTTCTCTACAGACCGTTAGAAGTATCTCCCTAAAAATTGAACGTTTAACGCTTCCACGAACAACGGAAACAACAAAAGCCGTACCCCGTTAGCCCGAAACACGTCCGTCAAGAGAGAAAGAAATTCGCAACAGAACGATCTACGTACAGCAAATGGGATCCCGTAAAACATTCACGACGGAACTATGAACCCACTTTCTAAAGTAGTACGCATCTACCATTTTATTTTCGGTCGAATTCTTCCTTGATTCTTCTCGCGAGCGACAGGAGATGCGAAGAGACGAGGCGTGCACAAGCGAGTACCGTTTGACAGGCTGAACCGCCTCCGGGCGTTGAAAGCCTGGTTCGTTTCGTTCTAAACGGAATCTCGCCTTCAAGCTTCCTCCGTCATCGCGCTCGACGGTCTGTTTTTCATTTTCTCCGACCCCTCCACCTATTTCCCTTCTCTGTTTCACTCTAGGCAGATTCCGCCGTCCCATCCTCGAGCGGTTTTAACCGAGATTCGATCGTGGGAGAAAGTTTAACTCCCGAGCGGCCCACTTCTATCTTTCGCTGGGCAAAAATCAGAGTCGCCGAACAGAGGACCGGTGTATACCGTGTCATTTCACCAATTTACCTGATTGTTAAATCGAGCCGTTCTGCGTGAAAGTGATATCAGTTCCATGTTCTTGTCCGTAAAGAGGATTCGTTGTCGACGAGATGATACTTTCGAACGAACGCGCCGATTTTACGTATTTCTCCGACGACGAATTTCTCCAACGGGCAGTTCCACTATTGGAAACATATTTTTGCTAATTATTGCCATCAACAGAGTCTAATGTTCGAGAGAGTCAAGAAAGGGTATCTCGGCCGGAAAGTGCAACCTTGGCGATCGTGCACCATCCTGCTTGCTAAAACTCAATATTGATCGTTGCATTGGATGTTTATCTATGACAAATGTTTGCCGGGAATACGTGTGGAGTCCTTTTTGTTTTCCATTGGCTCGAGAATCGTTTCGGAGAAACCGCGATAACGATTTGTCCGTCGTTCCCTCGGGCGGAAGGGGGGAGGGAAGGGGGGAAGGGGGGGGGGCGTGAACCGAAATGCCACAAAGCAATTAGAAACCGCGGAGCTCCGCGTGTTCGTGCCACTTCGAAATACAGCTGATCGATGTGAATCAAGTCTCCTCTGGTTTAACGCGACTTTCCTCGATTTCTTTTACCTGTTCCGTCACTTCCATCTTTTTTCCTCGAGCATCCGCAAAACTCCTGTTACCATTATTTCTTTTGCCCTGTCTCTATCGATTGTTCCAATTACAATTTTATCGCCTACACATGTATTTTTATGTCGATGACGTTCTCAGCTATCGAAACAAGAACGAACACTATCGAGTCCAGATGAAAGTTTTAATTCAACTCTCAGCTGTCGTTCACCTGGCATTCTAGCTAAACGTCGCGTACTACGAACGCATTTGGGAATGGCATTGACGTATACTAATTTAGACATTAATTAGCTAGGAAAATCGTCCATTTAGGGTTTCATCGTCTCGTCGTGGTACTCGAATTTTATTTAAATACGGTTTTAAGCTTTGTCCTCGCTTTGTAACAGAATCGTAATATCGCCGTTTCTTTCCTTTCTCACCCTTTTATTCTTCATGTTTATATATGGAGTTAGTTTCAGAATATCGAAAAAAAATTCATAGAAGGATGTTTGTGCTCTGATTGCATACGTTAGGAAAACTTAAACTACCGCAATTCCTAAAGTGTCCGACTAAATCTATTCAATTAACGACTCATCGTGCAACATGCAAATGAAATTGCAAATGCTCGGTTGCACACTATTGTCAGTTACGCAAATTTTTATTGTGACGGGTTCTCACGCGTGTTATAGACGCACTCTATTTCGAAAATGTTCATAACACAGGAAATTGTGAACCTTTGCTACAATGGTCTTTGTTACGAAAAGTATTCGTCATTTCTCAATCGTGATAATTGCTCGATCGTTTTGCAAATTTCATCATTTTGTATACCGGGACTAGAGAGTTGAAACTAAAATTTATTTTAACATTTTCCCTGATTAGGAAAAGCTTGTCTTACGAAAACAAACAACACTGAATGTAATGCATTACGATACAGGTTGTACGCGAGTCGTTAAACAAATTAGAATATTTCATGGGCACATAATCATGAGAAAATATGTGCACTTATATTTGCGTATGATCCGGAGGAATATTTTACCACGCCCAGTGACCTGCGATTTGCTGGACGAAGATGTGAATTTGTACCGTAGCGTGGACATTTTTACCCCTAATTCTTCGTCTGTAGCATGCAGCATTTTTGCCCATAAAAGTTTGCAGCTCTTGTGTTTCGTGGAATCCATGAAGTCGACTCGAAAAAGAAGCAGCGGCAGAATTAGGTCACAGTAAAGGAAGCATTGAAAATGGAAATCAGTTGACAGCCTGTTGAGAAATTTATGACGTTTAATTGGACACGCGATAAATATTCGTCGATCTAATTTCTTGTATTATCATTGGTCTGACTACATAAATGTTGAGCAATATCTCTCCACGGACAACGATAGTTAGCTTTCGTCATTTCAATTCGCGATGTATATTCGTCACGAAGTAGTGGTGTCTGTCAACTTCTCGGAAGCGATCAAAAAAGCTTGCGAACGTTTTCGTTCCCCGTGTTTGTTAACAGAAATTTAAATAAGAAATCCGCTTCTGACGGTGTCGAATTCTTTCAACGATCCTTTATTTATTATTCTCAGATTTAATTAATACCGTAGCAATGCCAGATGCTGCGTCTTACAGCCTCCTCGAATGGACATGTAAATTACCTCAGCATCGACACGAAACATTGTATGAACGTTCGCCTTGAACGTAGTTCGAGATTTTGTTTGGTCGCAGCCCGACGCGAGACAAATATTATTCGACGTCTCCTTTGAGAACTAAGATTTCGAACAACGTGTTTAGTCTTTGAATTCCACGCGAACCTTCGTCTAAAACGAAAGACAAAACGAACAGCGACAAAGGTCTACGTATTTTTTTCTATAAACAAATCACAAAACGTTCAGCTGCTCAATTCCGAAATCGTATACACTAGAAATGTTGTTTCTCGCGCTGTTTGTAACCCTCTCTGTGGTGGGGATGGCGATAGGCGATGAGCCGACTGGGGTCAATTGTAACACTTCAACTACTTGTATTTGTAAATCACTGAAATTTACATATTTTTACCTAATTCTTTACTGGCGTATTCATTAACATTTAACCTGTATTTCTGTTTAAAGATTTTCGTGGTAAATTGCGACAGCAGTGCTGAAAATATTTGTAAGTGATGACCAATACGGAGCCATAAAAACTAATATCGTTCTAATTGAACATAAGATAATTCATTTCTTACCAAAAAGGCAACCTGTCGCCCTATGAAAGCCTCTCACTCGAGCGAGAGTGTCGTCGAAATGTTTGAGCGCTTTCGGTTACTTTAATTTTTGTTTCGACACGTTAAACAATAACGAACATTCATAATAATATAAAAGAAAAACACGTTACAAAACACGCGAAGGAATCAAAACAAACCGTGTTCCCGGTTTTCATTTCCATATCGCTCCGTGACTAATACTTTACTCGGTGCTTTCGCATCGAGACAAAATTCGCAGCGATATCTTATTTTGGAAAACGACACGTCTTTCCTTCCTCTGATAAACCATTCACCGCATTTCATGTTCTCCACAGTTGAAACTCGAAAAGGAAAGCATAAAGCGTCGAAACATGTTAAGCTTAAGGTAGATTAGATGGAATTTCACCTACCCTAACGTAAATGAGACCATTATGCAAATGTTCTCCCTTCTTCAATAATATTCGTTGCATGAGAAGCGGAGAGCCGTAAGGTAAAACGATTAAGAAACGACAACTATGGTAGCGCAATGTTCGCCTAAATCTGCAACGACCTCTGCTCCGAAGGAAAAAGGAAGGAAAGGAAAGACATGTGAAACAACTCTGTTACTCGTGGTTTCACCCGCATCGAACTCACTCCTGCCGACAATGATTCTTACGTATCCCTAGACGTAGCTGTAAAACTGCATACGATTGCTAATCTGTTGGAACGGTATCTCACAAAGTAGAAGGTGCACCTCCTGGGCTACGTTGCGATCGAAAGTGTGACACGAAAGAAATTTTTAATGTATAAGAAAGTGTTTTAGTTTTTGTTTCGATTGTTCCAGAAGAACCGACCTGAGAAATCCTACCTCAATCTCCATGTTCACTAGACCTTGACCCTATTGTTTTCATGAAACTGCTTAACATCCATTTAGCCACAATTGCTGAAATTCTCACACGAATAAAGTTTTTGGCCAACCGAAACAGTTGTACTGACAAACGACGGACGGTGCAGCGACAACGACAAGGTGGATTTCGAAATAAAAACGATCGGTATCGGTCGGTCGCCGAACCGATTCATAATTCGGTCATAATATCTCCCATTAAGTTAACGTACGGAGGCACAGGTGGATCGGAATCCATGTTTCGTGGCTCAATTTTTAGGGCAGCCCACCGCAGTCGGCACGCAGTCCTGTGCGTGGGGGATTTTGTGTCGACGCGGTTTCGTGGGGCGGCGTTGTAGTTGATAAGTGGGACATACGCTCTTGCATCTCGGTATTTCGTAGTGAACTCGCCACCGGGTAGGATCACCTGCACACCGAGGACGCTGCGCGACAAACCGGTGCCAATAAATCAGTCCCAAATCACTGATTCGTGATACGTGCGAGGAGAAGCTTCCTGTTCCGATAAAAGACTTCGTTGCCAGTAAGTCGTGATTCTTCGAGATTCGCGTAGTGTTTTTAGCGAAAATCGTTTTCGGACCTGCCTCGACGATCGAACTACGATCAATTCTATTTGTTTTTCACTTTCCGAAATAGTGCAGGTTAGAATTTTCTATCTAATATCTAAATAGAATTTCGTTATTTTTATACGGTTTTTGAGACGGTTTTCTCATCGACAGGAAGAACGCAGTACCGAAACAATCTATCGAGTTTAGATTGTTTTTTTATTTGAATCACTAAATAGTGTTTTAAATAGTGATTCCTAATTAAAGTCTAGAGATAAAGAAATGAAAAATGACACGAGAGCGAAGGATTTCATCTGTCGCCGAACGCGGTGGTGCATCGCGATCGATGGGAACGACGTGTTCCGCTACTGATTCTGGTCGCTTATCGTTTTCGAGGTCTCGTAATTGTGCATCGTTTTTCATCGATAAGAAAGCGGAAAATGGGCATCGAGGCACGCGCGCTCGTTCACCCATACTGTATTATTTTCAACGAAGGAATATGCCGATTAATGAAAAGTCGAACATCCAAATCGAGGAGATGTAAAATTCACACATGTGCATTTAATCTTCGAGAAATTCGTTCCAATAGATAGGAATTTTGCCCCTCTGGCTATTCTTCAAGGTTGTATGTATTCGAATATTTACGCTTTCTTGCCACACTTTCTTAATTAACTGCTATGCTTACTAGACTGGAATCGAATCGTCCTTAGATTCGTATTTTAGATTCCCAGAATCCTAGATTCGTGATTCGTCACTTCTTCGAACTTCTTCTTCTTGCATTCGTACACACGCGATTAATCTTCTTCTCGCGGATGGCACGCAGTACCTCTCGTGAAAATTGTAATTTGTCCCATTTAAATATATATTCTATTTATTCGTTTCTCCCTTAAACTAGAGATGCTTCGCGCAACTCCTATGCAAACGTTGGACTGCCCCATTTGGATTCCTCGTACTTGCGTATAGAATATTTCAATCATTTATTCTGACCTTGGGCTACAGCCTAGAACGTGATGCGAATTTACCGCGATGGGCTGAAATTTTAAATTTTTGCAATGAAGATATCTTTCGAGTTAACTTTAAATGTAAAAGGAATCTTTTTCCAAGGAATTCACACTTTGGAAAAATGCTACCACAACGACCTAGGTTGTTACCAGCCAGGCAATTGAGAGAAGAACGCGAACGCGCGACTGATTTTCGGGCCAAAGAGGCCGTGTAGAAATTCCCCGTTAATTAATTACGTCTCGTAATTAACCTTTACGTGGCTAGCGAAAAGTAAAACCGACGCCGCGATGCGACGACGTGCTTCCGAGCGAATTCCCCTCTTCTTTAAAGATGAACCCACTTTATAAGGAAATATTACACGAAAGACTCTCTATTTCGTTCGGCATAATCATTCACAGTCTTGAAACTTGTACCCGCTCGATAGCCATGGTTTCCGTTACATTACCGCCAAACCTGAATTTTACATTTCGCCGAAGAAGTTTCATTCGCGTGAAAATTCTACGTGAATATTACAGTCGATAACGTTGTATCTACGATAGGACACGTTGCCAAGGATAAACTGTTATCGTTCCCCCGGGCCATCGTTTATAAATACCTATCGCGTTTCTAAACCGCATTTACTGGCAAAATAGCTAGTTTTTTCTGTAAGTTTTTCTTCTTCTTTGCGGGTGTTAAAGCCAACGCGGAGACGTCGACCAACCAATCGTGATTCATTCGTGTGAATTCGCTTTCTGCTTCGCCGCGAATTGCTTTAATTGCACGTGCATTCGAGAATTGTGCGACGATTGCCACCGCGCACAACGAAGGACAACGTCGAGATTGTTCGGAAGAATTTTGATGAACGATGAGAGACTGGCTTGTTTCACGATTCGTGGTGTCGACGGTTTCGTGAGTAAAATCGTTCGTTGCAAGTTTGTTACAGGATAGTATCCAATGACCAGCTTCAAACGATCGATGAACAACGACCTCTCGCGTGACTACTCTTCACATAGAGTTTCCGCGATTAAATGTCGTTGTATACATCCATTCAGTTAAATTGAGATTGATCGAACTGTTTCAGTCAGACTTCGTAAGGCTTGCAACCAAGCAAAAATTCGTCGACAGCGAGCACATTTTACTTAGACGTTCCAGCACGTTCCCCTCGTCCCGTGACTGATCTTTTCAACACCGCCTCACACTGAATTTCGCTGCTGCTTGCGCATTTTTGTTACATCAGCACCCAGCGCGATATTTCTACCAAAAAGTTAATCAAAATCATGTTTCAACTTTAACCACATATTTTACGATCTAACCTTTGCATCCCCTCCGCGGAAACATAGATCTTCCTGGACAATGGAATTTATTATTCATACTCTTGACAAGTGTCAAACAGTTTTGTGAAACAATACAATCCGGTTCCCAGGACATGATTAGGTTATGAAAGGTTACAGGCACAGATAAAACATCCATGTTCGCTCGAGTATATATTAAATTCTGAATTGTTGTACAATACTACTTTACTAACCTTTCCAGTTTGCATCGGTCAAATGAAATTTTCAGCGACCGCGTCAATCGTCGCGAATTTATCATCGACCTTGCAGTATTTCTTACACAAGCTACGATTATCGTCACCGGGTTATTTTACCGCTTGGTCTGAAACCTCGCTGATGTTGAATCTTTCGTGAAAGAACTCGCATTCCTGTGCTCGATATCACTCCCAGCCGAGCGTAAAACCTGTAAAGTGCAGGAACCCCTGAATGTTAAAACAAGGCGTAGTTTCGCAACCCCTTATCGAAACGGAAGCCACTGTACACAAGTAGATACTTAGGGGTTATGCCATCTTGATTGCGACAAAACGAACTCGCAATACCAACTACCAATAAAATTGTTTAAATTCGCGAAAGAAAGCTTATATTTAAAATAGAGATAAACGTCAGACTGATACGACCAGAACTTCGCCGTCAAATTTGCCTGCACGTAATCGCTGTAATCGCACCCTACCGTTCGTAATCGATAACCTTCACGATTCGTGAATTCACACGATGTTATCGATGGCTGCGAAACAAATTTAATTACGGTTTGCATTTTGTGCAAATAAGTTGTGACGTAACGTGTATAATTGAACATCAAGCTATGGTCCTAAATTCTATCACTCGGTCACACCGAAGTCTGTCTTCGTTTGAAAGTAGTTTCGCTCGACGCAATATCCACTGACCGACGCGTCATCGCGATACGCAAAACGTGAATTGCTACACGAACGGGATAACGATTTCCTTCGATACCCCGTCGAGATATATGTGTACGTAGAAAACGAGGAACATGGTCCACTGTGCGATTGGTAATGACCTCAAACGTGCCATTGACCTCCTTTACGGAGAACCGGTTCCCGCACGGAACTTCACTTCTTTCCTTCCTCGTTTCCCCTTCTCTCTTTCTCCGAATCTCCTACCGTCTCACTTAACACCTTTCTCTGCGGATACTCTCGTACGGATAGGATACAACATGTACCGTTTCGAGTATGATCGATAACTTGGTTGGGTCGACCTCATCTCGCTTACACGCTGCACATCAAGTTCCACTAGAAAAAAGAACAATTGGACATCTAATTAGACTCAGGGTCAAAAGATAGGAGACTTCAAGTATGACTTGCAACGTGGTTAACATGTACAAATCAAGTAAAAGGAGACAAAATTTGATTGAATTTAAAATTAGTTAAATTGACAAGTATTGATGCACTCGATGAGCCATTACGAGGCACTAAAAGCTTTCGCGAAACAGCTTGTAACACTTTATTCAGCTCACTCTACATAAAATCGCAAATGATACGTGTAATACCGCGCACGAAGACTCCTCAGAGCCGTGAAAGGCTCTGTAACTGGTTACGTTTCTACGTCTTTATGATCGGATCCCGGTGACCTAGTAAGAAGAAACACTTTTAAAAATGCAAAATCACACCGCAGGTCGCGTTCTACTTGTGACACGTGAAAGTTTGCGCTTCATTGTTCCGCGAGACGAATCATCGACTGTCATTTTTCCCAATTCGTTCGCCTTGTAATTCGCTGGAATAGATTCTATAGATTTATCCGATGAAGCAGGCAATGGCATTTTGAACATGAAAGCGTTAACGTTTGCTTATCGTAAAAGTACAAGTTTCCAAGGAAAGGGGATCGTTAAGCTCGAAATATTCTCAAGTCTCGTTACGGAAGCTATTTTCGGTTCACTGGATGTTCTAAGAGCAAACGTTTGTTTCAGATTTTTTAAAATGGCACCGAACCTGTTCGGTACGTCAGCGACATTGTTTTTGGAAGCTTCGCAGCAGAATGTTCTTAAGGAGAAGTCAGCAACAGAGAATGCAAGCACGCAGAAATTGATCGTCCAGAAGTCGACGAACTCTGCACCAAAATATAAATGGAAAATCGTTTGGAGAAACGCGATTGCTTTTCTTTACCTGCACATTGGAGCTCTCTACGGATTATACCTTCTGTTCAATGGAACAAAGCTTTACACGGCTATCTGGAGTAAGTCAATTTCCTTTTTTTCGCTATTTCGCTGCTTTCAGTACGTTTATTTGGCCCACCCTCTAAAATTGAGAATACCACGCCCAGCGAAAATGTGTAAGAAATCGTCACGAAACTAAATATCTTAAATCTTTTCTACATATTGTTGAGTTTCGGCATAACGAGTTAACAAGAACTTCAATAAATAACAACCAGCTTTACAATAGAAATATGTACAATAGGAATGCAATTAAATGTAGCTTCGGAACGTCTGCTCTCAATGACGTCTTGCTCGAATCTAACAGCTTTGACAGGCGATCGATCCGATCGCCTTCTTGTCGTTGTCTTCTTGTTCCGGTCGCGAGCACCAGCAAGCCTTGGACCGATCCAAAGGGTGCTCGCAACAATATTTAGATATATTTTTTTAGTAAATCTGATATGTCACATTAGGGTTCTCGTATCGGTAATTAATTCAGCAGTTGAAAAGGTTGAATATCATGTGCCACGTGTATATCAGATTCGAAAGTGATGATCTCATAAATTACATTCCACGATAAAAAAAACGACGTGGAAAATTGTTATTTGCGTCAGATAGGATTATAGTTATTTACGGTAAGCGAGCGTAACTGGGTCGTATGTGGAGCGAAAAAGATGATCGTAAAAACTATCTTCGATCCGACATCGTCGCGATCGTAACATCTTTTCCCTTTGAGCTATCATGAACGCGCGATCTGATTGCATCGATATGTAAAGCGATTCAAAGGAATCTCAGCGTAGCATCCTGCTTCGAAAAATAAAACGCTTGATATACAGGAGGTCACATTTTTAGTTTACAATGAATAAAATAGGCATTCTCAAAAGTGTTAAAATTAGGTACCTTATAGCATGTATAATCATTCCGCCACCCACTATACTTTATATTTTAATTACTACACTTGTTTCAAATATAATCGAACTTTCAGCGTTCTTATTGGGGTTATCGGCGGCAGTAGGCATCACAGCTGGCGCTCATAGATTATGGGCTCATAGATCCTACAAAGCAAAGTGGCCTATGCGATTACTCCTGATGATCTGCCAAACCGTTGCTTTCCAAGTGAGTCCCCTGTTTTCTACTCCTTCAATTACTCAGCTTATCCGTGTCAGTATCTCCCGTACCAATCATAAAGTAGAACCTAGAAAATTGATATTTTATGACCTATTCGAAGTTACCGTTATCGATCAAGTAGCGTTTACTGGATTCTTCGCGTGTTACTTTGCAATATAGCCAATTTACTGTACGAGAATAGATTGTTTTCATTTTGAACGCTGTTTCGCAGAATCACATCTTCGAGTGGGTCAGAGACCACCGAGTACATCACAAATATACAGACACGGACGCGGATCCGCACAACGCGAAAAGAGGATTCTTCTTCTCGCACATGGGCTGGCTGTTGGTTCGCAAACATCCCGATGTGATAAAGAAAGGTGCCACCATTGACATGAGCGATCTAGAACAGGATCCCATCGTCGTCTGGCAGAGACGGTAGAGAACACTGTTTTTAACACCTGTTTTTTAACTACTTCTTTTAATGGCGTACAACGAAACGTTATCCAAAGTGAAAGGTGTTCCATTTATTTTTCACTCGTATCGATCATTCAAAACGGACACTGCTCGTAACGCCGTGCCTTGAACCATTCTCTTCTGGCGTTTTGTAGATTGTATATCATCCTCATGCCGCTCTGCACGTTCATAATTCCTATGTGGATACCGTGTCATTTTTGGGACGAGAAACCATTGAATTCCTGGTACAGCACCGTGTTCAGATACACGCTTTCCTTGAACATGACGTGGCTGGTGAACTCGGCAGCTCATATCTGGGGCATGAAACCCTATGACAGGTAATGTATGGTTTATGTATTAAAATAAAAGTATACGAGACAGCGCACATGCATAGATAATTATTCGACGATTTTTCAAACGGTACGTTATTACAGAAAATATAAAACCGTGACGTAATTTCGAATTTCCAGTTCAATCGGGCCAACGGAAAATCTCAGCGTCGCGGTACTCGCGGTAGGCGAGGGCTGGCATAATTACCACCATGTATTCCCGTGGGACTACAAAGCGGCCGAATTGGGAAACTACAAGACCAACATCACCACTGCGTTCATCGACTTCTGCGGCCGAATAGGCTTGGCTTACGACATGAAGACCGTCCCGGTGGAGATGGTCAAGAAACGTGCGGCTCGAACCGGCGACGGAACGAGGTACGAATTCGATCGTTCGAGTCGAAGCGACACGGATATTTTTGTCTATCGATCTTTTCGAAAGATAACGAACTCCTTCATTGCTTGTCTTTCAGATTTGAACAGGAACAAGCTAACCACCATAGTCACGAGGACGCAAAGTGGGGCTGGGGTGACAAGGACATGAATATCGAGGAGATTCAGGGGGTAGAAATCCTCAACAAGAGCGACTAATTAATCGTTTCTCGACTGTTTCACGAGAATGTTCGACTGAGCTCGCACGAGAAATCGCGTATCGGAAAAAAATGCGATCAATAGTTCACAACGTCAATTAATATTTGTTACGCGTATATATGTATATATAATAACGTATACACATTATCAACGATCAGTCGTTGTCGTTCCTCTGCGAATGGTCGGCTATTTAAAGATACGAGTAAATTATTAAGAACCGTGATATAAATCTCGATAAACGTCGGTAAAAAGAAAAGTGAAAAAAAAAAAAAAAAGAAGACGAGAAGATCGAACTCGTACGTTGGATGCTCGATCGTAATCGCGACAATGTCGGCTCCCTTCACTCGCGGAATCAAAAATTAATTCGTGGCCTTTCGAGTTATCGTTAATTTGTGAATCTTCGTAGGTGTTTTATTTCGCGATTTGTCGCGTGCATAGTAATTAAACGATTAACCTAATTACTGAGAATATCGAGACGATCGTCATAGACTTCGAGCGACGTAGAGTTATTGTAACCAAAGCACAAAAACCGTAATATCTATTGATCGTCTGGTTCGCGGATAATGAAAAGAAAGGCACTTGAAACGCTGGCAAAGATTCAGTGTAATCGATCGTACGAACAAAAGAAAAGACTCGAGCTCGACGTTCGTTCGTTCGTCTTCCGCAATATGTGTATCGAGAAATCGAGCTCGAGTCGTTCGCGAGTCAATTAAATTTGCAATTATATCGTAGGGATCGACGAACACGAGCGACCCGATCCAACGTGTTGCGCAGACGACAATCGTTCCTCGATGAAACGGTATGCAACAACAAAGTGCGACAATCCAGCATCGACGAATTGCCTTAACACGCCCTCTTCGTCCTGTCGCGCAAATCCATGTGCGTCCATTTGCGTATCGCTTGAATTGTTTAGGAAACTGGCACGCTAAAATTGTTCAAACTCGCGTCTTCGATCGGTGACACTGATTTCGCGTTAAGTGTGTACCGAGGATATTATTTATTTATCGTTTAATTTGCACGAAAATTTCTTTAACGGATGTAGATACGGGCGAGGTATACGAAAACACACAAACGTTTTTTCTTTTGCGCACAAAATTACATTCGATTTATATTCTGAATTACAGGCGTAATGTACGCGTTCCTAGAATGTCGAATCTTCCTACGTGTCGATGATGGATTCTTACGACAAAAGGACTTATCCCGTAGCGATGAAGAAATAGTTCCAGCACCTCTGACACGTATTATTTAATCACGGATTTAAACGCGTCCCTGGGAGCATTCCTCGTAAACATTCGTCTGACTTGTGATCCTAGAATTCATTTTCAACGCTTGTTGAGAAACTATTGTCCAATTGTAGACTATATCTACAGATATGGGTGGTTTGCTAACTCAGGTACAAACTCTACTTCGTCACTCATATATCTCTACATCAGAAGTTGCAATGGTTGTAATATTAGACGTAAAGTGTGACTAAACTTTTATGGACGAATGTTTATGAAACCTGTGGGCGGGTACACGAGACATTGTTCGACTTGTATAGTTCGTATATAAAGTAAAAATTGAAAAAAAAAATATATGAAAACGTAGTTTGTAGGGGGTATTCCACGTGGTTAGATGAGAACGAAGAAACATCGTTTTCGTTGTGTGCATACGTTTTATTATGGACAATATCGACATTTTCAATGTATTTATAAATAAATTATTATTATCTGTAGAGACATTAGTCTTTTCCCTCTAATTCGGTATTTTTTCCTTAAGACGTTACAAAGCTGTTGAATAAACAAACAAGGTTTCTAGACGAACATTTTATGGTAACCACAAATCATTATTATCGCCCTCGTTCTCGAAGCTATATCGACATTTTTATAAAGATGGAAAGTAAGCTGTTTTTGTCCTGTGCGTATTGCCAATTGCGATACTTTTATTTAACACTGATATTGGATGTATATTGTCAATTCGTAACAAAGAATGATTAGTTGTGATCCATCGGTCGCGTTATCTTTTTCAGAGTCAGAAAATATTAGCCCCCTCCACGGGACCGGCGGACATACAGTCGTCATACAGTTTGACATTAATCAAATAATTATCGCTGAGATTAATCAGCAATTATGGACTGCACTTGTAATCTGACATCATAAATCACTAATTTGTAATCAATCAATAGAAGATTAATTTAACTTGTGCTTGTGCTTCAGGATTCTAGAAGAATTGCCGTTAACAGTTCTTTCCTGTGTTTGCTTTGGGGACAATTTGCATGATGGTTTGTTAGACACGTTTGCCAGTTTGCATTTCACGGATCAGTCATTCTTGAAACAGTTAATTAAGGAAAAATGATGTATCAAGATATTAAGGAAAAATAGTATATAATAGTATATAATAATATAAAATAGTTAATTAAGGAAAAATAGTATATGTCAAGATATTCATCTGTTGAAATGTTTAAAGAGTGTTTGACGACAAACAAGCCGAGATAACCGCGAGAGCGTTGCACTAAAACTGTTGGTGCGATAAGTTAAAGATAGAATTCCTCTGTTTCTCCTCGTCGAGAAGATCCGGTAATCAGCAAACACTTTCCTTAAGTCAGAAAAGGCCGCCGTTCCCCGTAATACAGCGAGGCGTTAATGATCGCGAAATTGCGCATCAGTAATTGCGCCCAATTAGCCGAGAATTTGCACGCTCGTCTCCCAGTTACATCCAATTGAGAGCAAGACTTGGCCGCCGTGCGACTACCATATATTTTGCAGTTCCCATTCAATGATCGAACGAAGAAGTACCGTACACCTCGCTGTTCTCCAGTTTCAATTCCGAGAAAACGGTAACCTTCGAAAAGTACAAAGAAAATCAAAGGTAACGAAAGGATTTCAAATGTAAATACATTAACTACCTACCAAGTTATTCTTTACGTTACAAGAAATACCAAAAAATTAAGCGATCCAAGCCCCTCCCAATCTGTCAGAGAGCCTTGCGAGACCCATTGAATTTCATTGAGCGTATCGATCGCAAGGACTTTCGCTAGATCACGCCCATTGTGGGGCAGGTTGTCAACTGAGATCGATCTTGATCTTCCCAGACAAATCTCTCAGCAAAGACACAGCTTATCTCGTTCGTGAAGTTAGATAAATAATTTCGATAGTTCGTCGGAGCAGATACAGTCGATCATCGACAGGATTAACGAGACGACAACGCGTTATAAAACGAGGAAAGCGGCTTTGATCGACTCAATCTGTATTAACGTTTCGCGATAGGTGGTTTTGTGTGCTCGAACGACGACGGTTTGTTTCAACCGACCGCCTCTTGTTCTATTATTCAATTTCACGGATCAAGACGGGTTATAAGACGTCACGTAAGACAGAGGTAGGGAAATACATAATTCAATAACTGTGGTGGACTCATTCAGTGTTGACAGTTTGTTGCGTCAGCGGCGCGTGGACGCCCGGTCTTGCACAGGTCTCTGGATTATGTATGTTCGTATTGCATACTGTTTCCACGGCGAGAGTTAAAAGTGAACAACGTTCGCTCGGCAAACGTGACGTTTCCGCTTAAATATTTGCTGCCTCGTTGCTTTTCGAAACTGTGCTACAAGGAATTAAAAGTGGTACGGTAAGTGCGCGTACAGTCGTTGGTCGAACCCCGAAGGATATCGTAGGAAAATTGTTCAATAAAATGTGCATTTTCAACGAACATTTCCAAGTTGACGATTTGTCAAACCGTAATATATACTCATTAGATGAAAACATGATGTGTTTACAACTCTATCGAAAAAGCGTAAACAATACTATCTAATCGAGAAGTTTATAGTAAAACGAAACGGAATTAGTAACATCGAACTAATTAAAATTATAGTTCCCGATCAAACGATTAGAGTCATAAAACAGATAACAGATCCCGTTACCGGTATATAGTGCCGTCTATTTTAAGATACTAGCTAGAGACGCGCATTTTATCTAATAGGTCCATCAACGTCTTGGTCCATTTCAAATTTCCCGCCTCGTCTTCTCCATTTTCTTCGCGACGAAGCGAATTCAAAAACTCGAAGCGTTTACAAAAAATTGTTAGGTAACGCGCTCTCTCGATTCCGCGGAGAAAATAATAGGAACGCACTCCGCGTGTTTCAGCTCTATTTTGAATTTTCGTCGTTAGCTCATGCGCACTAAATGGAGGCAAAAGCGAACAGACGAGGTTCAGGTGGCGTTGGGTGTAGCGGTGTCGCCTTCTCGACGTCGAGGACGCAGCTGTACCGTGGAACCGGATTACTGTGCTTCACCTGCAGCCTCTGTTTCATTCTCAGCCTGATCTGCACGTCTCTGGCCACGTTGTTGGTCATTCTCGATCAGAAAGTCGAAGCTGCCAGCTGTCCTAACTGTGAGTCTTTGATGTATTATCAGTCTTCGTCGATAAGAACGCGTCATGGCGGGAAATTTGAAATTGTTCCGACTGCTCGCGCCAGATACGCATACATACAGGGTTATTCAAAATAGACTATAGGAAGTTTTTCTTAAATAAAATAGATACTCTTTAATTTTATTAGTTTCATCAAATTTGTTAACCAAATTTCTAATTGTTTGCTCTGATGGACGATTATGTACGCCGAAAAAATTACGTAATTTACGATGGGTATTTTTTATTGAACACTGATTTGCAAAATAAATTTTAATCGCTTTAACACGCTCTGCAATCGTATACGACTCCATAGTTAAAATTGTCTATCGTTGTAGGTTAGAAATAAAAGAAAGTGACAACAAATAAACATGGCGTTTGATAGATGTTCTCATTCAACATCCTAAAGGTACTTTTGGATAACCCTGTATACAGCTTATTTAGACTTTGCACTCGTATCGTCCTCTTATCGCCACGACTCAAATACCTTTATCAAATTCCTAAACGAATCGAGCAAGCGAACAAGTAAATTTTAATTCGTTCGTTGTGATGTATTCCATTCTATAAGAAAAAACGGATGTTTATCTTTCATACGAAATTATAATATATGCTTACTATTTGTTCTAGCCTTCTTTGTCATGAACAAAGCACCGGTCTCCGAAGCGTCTTTTCGATTACCGCAAGACGTGAAACCACTGCACTATGACGTCTACTTGCATCCAGATCTCGAGAAGGGTACCTTCCAGGGTAAAGTTACGATCTTGATCGATGTCCTCGCCAGGACGAAGTATATAGCGGTTCATCAGAAGGACTTAAACATCACGTCCACCGCACTTGCGACTTACGATCGCGAGGAGAACTATGAGATTAAGATCGCGGAGACCAAGGTGATATCGCAACACGAAATGTTCATGGTGACGATGAATGATGAGCTTCACACGGGAATGTACAATTTAAGCTTCGAGTTCAGCGGCGCGCTGCAACCCGACAAGATCGTTGGCTTCTATTCCAGCAAGTACAAGGACGCGCAGAACAGAACCAGGTAAACGTCTCGTCGAAAGTTATATCGATCGTACCTGATTTTTTTCAAAATGTTTACTTGTATCGGTCGGTATAATGTTTCGGAACTTTTGTTTACAGATACATCGCTACTTCGAAATTCGAACCGACATACGCGCGAAGAGCGTTCCCATGCTTCGACGAGCCCGCGTTCAAGGCGGAATTCACGGTGAAGCTCGTTCATCCTTCCGGCGATTGCTATAGCGCTTTGTCTAACATGAACGCCGAGGTAAATAGATCGGAAAGGAGTGACTTTTTTCCGCGTAATGATAACTAACGAAACGTTACTCCTCTCGAACCAGATGTATCGAATATAGGGAGAGGTATTTAAAGAATGATCGAATTCGTCGAACTCTCCGTCGGAAGTCAGATTTTCGTAGAGTTGAGTGTACGAGTTATTTGTTGCATTTTGTAGAGCAGCCAGTTAAATCACCCGTCACCCGGACTGACGACAGTGAAGTTTGCGAAGAGCGTACCAATGTCTACGTATTTATCTTGCTTCATAGTCAGTGATTTCGTTGCTGTCACCAGCATGGCGAAGGGCCTGAACGGTCGTCAGTTCCCTGTCAGCGTGTACACTACGAAGGCTCAGAAAGAGAAGGGTTCGTTCGCCCTCGACATTGGCGTGAAGATCATCGAGTATTACATCAATCTTTTCGATGTCGATTATCCGTTGCCAAAGCTTGGTAAGCTTGGAAATTCGATGCAATGAGAATATACCGTGAGATCTAGAGAATGCATTAGCAAAATTCGTTTCGAAGATATGGCGGCCATTCCTGACTTCGTGTCTGGCGCGATGGAGAACTGGGGACTCGTCACCTACAGAGAGGCGAGGCTATTGTACGACAATAGGACGAGTTCCACTGCCAATACGTACGACATCGTCACCGTGATCAGTCACGAGTTTGCTCACATGTGGTTCGGAAATTTGGGTGAGTATAATTGAAAAAAATGATTAAATTAAGAATGACGATATTAAAGAGAAATAAATTCATTTGTCAGTTACGATGTCCTGGTGGAACGATCTGTGGTTGAACGAGGGCTTCGCTTCCTTCATGCAATATAAAAGCGCGAATGGAACTCTTCCGGATTGGGGGATGGTCGGTACAATGTATCGTAAGACGATTGTCAACATGCCGTCTAATACTAAAATATGTGTTTCAGATGGACCTATTCCTCGTCGAGCAAATGCACTCTGTTTTCGTGACCGATGCGAAATTGAGCTCCCACCCGATCGTCCAAACTGTCAGCAACCCTGACGAAATAACCGCGATCTTCGACGAGATATCATATAAAAAGGTTCACCGTCGTCATCGATAATTGCCTTTCAGATTTTATTGCAACTTTGCTTCACTTTCGATTAATTGATAGGGATCGTCGTTGCTTCGAATGATGGAGAACTTCATTGGACCCGAAGCCTTCTACGGTGGCATCCGCACATACTTGATTAAATTCATGTACCACAACGCGAAAACGTCAGATCTCTTTGCAATTTTGCAAGACGCCTCGGCGAAGAACGTAAATCTGACAGCGGTCATGGACACGTGGACCAGGCAGAAAGGTTTTCCTGTGGTCAACGTGAAAAAATCTGGCAACAAATACATATTGACGCAAAAACGATTCCTGGCTGATCCCGATGCTCAATTCGATACCTTCGATTCCGATTATGGGTAAATAGTAAATAGCCAAATAGACGAGCGTCTTTGCGAGACATTAATCGCTCTACTTTGTTCCGAAGGTACAAGTGGACCATTCCTATTACATACATCACGAACAAAATGTCTAAGCCGACGCTTTTGTGGTTCCAGAAGGATGCGAACAATCGTAATTGTCTCGTTTTCTTTTATAAATCTACGCGATAGACAACTAGGTCCACCTATTTTATTACCGCGACTTTCGTTTCTATCCTTGCAGTGGAAATCGAATTCAAGGAGACAATCGACTGGATCAAGTTCAACGCGGACGAAGTTGGATATTATCGCGTTAATTATGAATCGACCGAGTGGGAGATTCTTAGCAAATTGCTTCGAGCTGATCACAAGGTGAATTACACGTTTATGTTATTCTACAGGTCACATTTAGCGGGCTGGTGATTGATTTCATGTCTCGTTTAATCCGCAGAAATTATCAGTTTCGGATAGAGCGCATCTTCTAGAAGATGCGTTCAGCTTGGCAGCAGCTGGAGAACTCGAGTATGGGGTCGCAATGAACATGACAGCGTATCTTCCCAAGGAACGTCACGCTGTCCCATGGATGGTTGCCTCGTCGAAGTTGACAGCTATTGATACTTTGTTGTCGTCGACCAATTCATCATCGAAATTCAAGGTAATATTTGTTGATATTCGTGGTTTATGTACCATTATCTCCATGAATTCATTTTACCCAATATTGTTTAGAAATACGTGAGAAAATTGATGAACGACATTTACAATCACGTAACATGGATCGTTGACGATTCCAATGATCGTACCACTCTGTACGTAAAAAATTATTTGCTCCTACATATAAGTAATAGAATCTTCAGGAAACATCTTTTTCAATCTTCCTACCTTGTACAGGAGACTTCGAACGTCTGTCCTCGGACTAGCTTGCTCCGTGGGTCACGAAGCATGTCTCGCTCACGCTGGGACATTATTTACAAGCTGGACACAAGATCCCGCGGATATTCGTCCACATCCTGATATCCGACAGCTTGTTTATTATTATGGTAAGCAACGAATGAGCCCGTTTACAAATTTTCTTCAAGTGTTTAACCAAAATTGAATGATTTTTCCAGGCATGCAAGGTATTAACGACGAAGCGGCGTGGAAGAAAGTGTTCGAACGGTTTGTCGCCGAAACCGATTCGACAGAGAAGCTGAAGTTGATGAAAGGATTGGCTGGAATACGGTCCCCCGAGATCCTGAACGGGTTAGTCGAATAATTAAAAATTAAAATATTTGTTTTTAGGAGAGGTCTCAGTGGCTAAATTCTAATTTCTTCTTTTATTGTTCGTTCCTAACGTAGCTTCATAACAACAGCCACCGACGAAAATTACGTTCGCTCCCAGGACTTCTTCGGCTGCCTTTCCGCCATTTCTGGAAATCCCGTAGGAACCCCGCTGGTCTGGGACTGGGTCCGCTCTAACTGGGAGTTCCTCGTGAACAGATACACCTTGAACGATCGAAATCTCGGAGCCTTGATTCCCGAGATCACCAAAACTTTCGCCACCGAGACGAAGCTGAACGAGATGCAAGCGTTCTTCGCCAAGTATCCCGACGCGGGCGCTGGCGCCATGAATCGTGCAAAAGCATTGGAAACCGTATCGAACAACATCAAGTGGCTCGCCAAAAATAGTGGAAAGCTGGAAAGCTGGCTGAACACGCACGTGTAAACCAATTGAGCGGCTGAAGTGTATCGCGTGTGTCTGTGTTTGTGTATGTTACCGATGATCCACGCCAAAGAAGATTTCAAATAGTTGTGTACCGCGATGGTTCGAGGAAACGAGATTCGCTTTCGATAAATCTGGTGAAACGGTATATGCGTTTTCGAAAAGAGAACCGTAAGACGCTTGCTATTTAAGGAAATTCTCAAGGATGAAACGTTTGGTACAGACTAACCCATCTCGCAAATTTTCTCATTTCCAGCGAATGCTTTCGAATCGGAAACACTTTGAAGTTCAAACGCTCGCTAATTTCATCTAAGACTAACACGAAACGCAAATCGATTGCAGGGTCTACCGAATGCATTTAACTGCATTTTACAACGAATGCATTTCTGCGAAATATTTCTATTTATACTGGTCAATTGTGGCTCTCGTCGCGAGGAGTTTTGTAATTTCGTCGAGAAATAAAATGTTACCGAGCAACCATAGCACAAATATCCCACGACCCCAAGCACCGACGTATCAAAAGCTAATCAACCGGATGATTTGAGTCACCGCAATTGTTCTCCCTCGTAAACAATTGACTTGACTTCTATAGATTAGACGACCCTGCTAAGGGAGCAACGAAGCTGAGCTGGACCTTTAATTTGTCCCGGTCACTGTGTCTATTTTTATAGGACCATAGGTCGCGTCCTAACGCCTACCTTCGTTTATTTTCGTGGAGCATTAAACGATCACGATTTTTCTTTTTTTTACGAAAAGAAATGATTTTATTCGGCACACCTACATTCGCGAATTAATTAACCCTCGAGTTGAACGGTAAGTGACAGCATCTATAAAATGCCCCGTTCAAGATTCTTAGTTTAATCGGCCATGGAGACAATCGCGCCACTGAAATTGACCGATAGGTAAATAAATCATTTCGATTTAGTCGACTTTCTCCGGTATACGGACTTTCGATTCGCCAAATATAATAGTCTTTATTTGTTTTCTCGTATCATCGACTGCTCCGCCACCCCAGAGTTGTCGTAACCTGTCAATTGATTCGTCATTGACGGAACGAGCCTCGTAAATTCAGTCGTTGATCAAACTTAGACCGAAATTAAGCCTCCGCAAATATCTACCTACGCTAGATCGAACAAATACTGTCGATGGAATCACGAATACTACCTGTAGCGAACAGAAGCAGCGACAAATATATTTAAACACGAATTTCAATAAATTGCCCTTTTATCGTCGAAATTAAATTTTTTCACATCGACAAAAACAATCAGGTAGTCGTCGAGTTCATCGGTCGGGTAAAACCAATTCGACTACACGACCCTGGAGGAATTCCAAAACCGGTCCTCTCGGTTCCACCTGGTTATTTTTTGCTTTAATAGTAAACGTGAAACTCGGATTCGCATTCCAACGATTCCCTCTAACGTCGAAACTAAGGGAACGGATTATGCTCTGAAACGCAATGCAGGCTTTGCCCAGGCAACGATATATGAATTTCTGCTATCTAAAGAAGATACGGTAATCAGTAGACTGCGGATCTTTATGGCAAAATAAAATCTTCGTGAACGTGCCTACAAAAATTAAACTTAAATAGAAATTAATTTTATTCTGCAAATATTATAACATAAACTTTACTTTTAATCTTTTTTATATTCTTGCATATTATTTGCATTTTGTAGGTTCTTGCACATTCAAATTTCCCATAAATGCATAAAGATCCGCACTCTAGTAACCGGTGTCATACATATGTATTCAATATTGAGACACAATCACAGACGCTTCCAAGTTTTCTTTCGTGAAAAACAATGACTTCTTTCACGACCGTTCGTGATTACACGTAATTGTTACAGTTTCTGTAACGTTAAGTTTAAAGAACACGACAGCGAACGTTAGACATCTTTACTGCGATAAATACTTTAGGTGTTTCCAGCGGTGATGCATCCGTTGTTTGAGCGAAGGTGTTTTTACCGTCGACACGATTGGCGCCGTTCCACGAATAGAAAACAGGTGAAACAAATAAATGGTCAGAGTTTACGAGTGTTGCCTCTGCCAATATAAAAAATAAGAAATGTACGATTAAGCTAACGTTGTAATTTAAAGAAATCGACTGAAACGTTTCGTTAAAGATGCAGGAAGCCGGCAAGGTCGCAATTGATTATTCAAGAGTTACGTTATGTATATTTCCAATCAAATCGTCGGATCATCGCAGTTAAATCCACATTGTCATTTTGTTGGAGATCTTCGTAAATGGATTCAATTGGTTTTCTGCACTGTTCGATTCAGCGAAGGATTATGTTCGATGTGTCGAAGAGAAGTCTGCGTACGTGTGCGCGCATTAAACGAGAACACTCGAACGATTCGCTTTGGTATTCTATAGAAACATTTTCAATACTTTTTATTCTACGTTTTGCAAAAATACATAGGAGATGCCAATTTCTCTTAGGTCGTACTTTCAATCGCGTTCAAGACGATCGATACTTCCAAGAATATCGTATATAGTACTCTGTCAAAAAGGTTGAACCGTCTCATTTGTCTGAAAGCTGTGTTTCCTTATCGGAGAATAATTTATGGGTCCGTTCGGTTCGTTTCCCTGTAATTTTGCTAATTTTTCGGTCTGGCAGCCGCTATCTAACAATTTCGCCGCAGTCCGTAAACGGGTAACGTACGAGCATTTAGGGTATCCAACCGAGGGACCCTATTCACCCTGATGACGTCACGAACGTCCTTTTTTTCTTCTTTTTTTTATCTATCGCGATGTTTTCATCCTCCATTATCAGCGTCTCTCCTATTCGTTTTGGTACCTGCGAGCCAGAGATGGACAAAATTCTTATCCGAATAAAAATTACGGTTAACGAGCGAAAGATAAACAGACCGGAACGTTCTCGATGAAATAAATGAATTTCATTACTCGTGACTGTGTACTTATCACGAAAATTCAACTTTGATTCGAATCGAGAGACCGAGCTGCCCACTTTAAAACATTGATTTTCTCACAGCATAAAAATTCCTGAATCAACGGTCGAATGCCTCGGTTCATTATCATACCGGAATAGAGAAAGAGTCTTTCCTACAGCGGGAAACGTCGCGGCTACAAGATATAAAATCAACGCGTAATTTACAGTAACAAGTATATTTATAGTAACAAGCTACGAAGAAAACGACAGTGCTCTACTCCTTTTCCCGACGACAATAATTCAAGCGTCAATAAACAGTTGGCGGTGTAACGACGATGCAAGGATTACATTCCGATTTTAGACGCGGGCAATCTGCCAATTATAATGCATCCGAGCAATCTTCCTCGTGTTTTGGATCTCGCGGAAAATCACGGGAACTGGCCATCGAGATGCAGAACACCGCGAGAATGTTTCGCGGATCGAATACATCTCGCTATGGACGAATCTATCGTGCGATTCGCGTAAGCGCAGTGACATAAGAGTAATTAAACGCACGAAATATTTCATCTGGAACGCAATTTCTTACTTGTTCGCCTTGAAAATCGTAATTTACATATGAGGCCGCACGAAATCGCGATCCAAACAAAATATTTCGAAACTTGTCGTTCGAAAAAGAGAAGCGAATTTCAAAACAGGAATTCTTATTATTGGGCGACATCTACGCGAAAGGGGCGACCCGAGAAATGTTTCGAGGAATTTTTGTACCATAGTACGCGAACCTTGTAATTTTTCAAACAGGACGGTCAAAAACCGCACGCGTGAAAAGTTTGTCATTCCTGTTAAATAATTCATTCGAGTCGATCTATTGTTACAACAAACATCGTTTATTTCCAATCTAACGCAAAGGTAATGGTGCGCCGTTACGTAAATTTCATGAGACGCGTCAAAATCCGATGAACCGTCGCGTCGGTTCCATCTACGTTGAAAATGTTCGTCGTGTAGGTAAATAATGAGGACTATTTGTCGAAATATAATACGTTCGTTACAGGGTAATTACCCATTCTCTTTGCCTGGACAGATTAATCATTGAAAATCCGGCATTTAATCCGATATCACCGTTGACCAGTCCCGCCGTTTTGATTCGCCCACGGCATTTTCAATGCGGTGTTAATTATTCAACGATTCCAGTCGGTCGCATATTCGCTGCGAACAAATCCGTGGCATTGTCGGTCGCTTTCGATGCGAAAAGAACCCGAATCACGTCGCGTTCTAAGACATAATTACGAACAATTATCATTCGGTGTCTGTGCGTCTTTTTTTCCTTACGATAAAGGCGGTCGCTGACATGCGAGCGGGTAAACTCACAAGCATGTGTAACCAATTGATGTACGTTAGGATACTCCTTAGTTGTAGAACCCCGCAATTTTTTTTCCAGAATTTGAGAATCTTTCCATCGGCTGTAGACGATCCTTGAACAAACAAATCTTCGTAGTATTTAATCGAAATGAAAATGAAAAGGTCATTCTGCACGTGCGAGTGATTTGTTCTCACGCGATCGATCAACCAAGAAAAAAACTTCTCAATCTAGAAAAAGAATAAAAGTTGGAATAACTTGAAGAAAGTCGGAAAGTTCACGCGAATCCGCACCGCGAGGTTCGATACGGGTACCATTTTGTCGAACTATCGTCAAGATGCTCCGAAATATCTCGCAAAATGGCAATTTGTATTCAGGGATTGCATCAAACGTGTCTCGTAAAGGAGACCAAACGTTTTTGTACAAATTACGAACGAACAGGTGCCGTTTTATGAAATGTCGATACGTTATGTGGATGGTAAAGGGTGGAGATGGACAGAATTTTATTTATCTGATTAACGAATGAATTCCTAGTTCTAACTAGAAGCCTAGTTCTAACAAGAAGTGGAAAATACAAAAATAAATATGGGTTTCTGCTTGTTTCGTTTATTTAAAGTTTAACAGACTCTTGGACCAATTAAGATCTCCGGTTCTCGAAGACTTTAATTGCCCTCAAAGATGAACTCTTCTTCGAAATAAGTCAATTTCCGTTTCAGTTACTCTTTGACGTCTTTCTTCGATACGAGGAACGAAGTGGCGGTGCATATACGCTCGAAGGATTCGCGTTGATTGCACGCAATCAAGCGTACAGGATGATCGTGAAGAAATGAATCTAATTAGCGATTGCTAATGAGTAGACTGCGAATCTCGTAATAATATTAATATTTCATTTTGCGCGAGTGGGTATATTCTGAATACATTAGTCGTATATTTTTCATATTCGCATGCGCCACGAATGTATCAAATCTGGAGTCCTTAATGAGACTATGTTCTGACCCAAAACCTGTGAAATGGTAATTTAAGAATCGATCGCTATTGATATTATTGTTATTTATTTCTGTTTGTTACGATCGTTTGACGTACTCTGCGATACGCTTGGATGCAACAGGTGACGTTCAGCAGAAATTAAAATCAGCGACGAAGAGTGCCATGGAACTGTCTCTTGTCTCCAGGATCCACTCCGACAAATCAAGGGAATCGATTTAACGTTGAGATATCGCGTATGCAACAAAT